CTCTCTCACATCTCACTCATATTTCTTTCACTTCTCTCACAATTCTCTGTTCCTTTTCTATACTCTCTCCATACTCTTATATACATTACTTACCTTACTTTACTGATCCACCACAACGCACGGACACTTACTTACCGCCGACCAGTGCGTAATCTGGCAGAGAGCACGCTCTCGCCCTGTTCCTTTGGAACTTATCGTTGCAGGCAGAAACACCTATCGCGACAGTCCCGTTTTCTTAGTAGTGCTTAATGTACGTATACTCGCTACCATACGCCATCGCGCAAATGCGAATAAATATGATTAAAAAAAAAAAAAAAAAACTTTTTCAGCCCAGTCATGCTTGTAGTCTCCCGGGAGGCTCGCCGCTCCAGTACCCAGCAGACGCCAGATCTGAGAAAGTATGGGTGTCTTGAGATACAATGTGTAATGTCAAAGAGAGCCAAATCTGATTTGTGGTATCGTGAAGTTCTAGTATGGTTCTCGTAATCTTAGTGTTTCCTCCCGGTAAGTAATTGTAGTTTCAAGAGAAGAGAAAACGTGAACGTCAACTTGTGCATAGGCGCCCGTACTTGACGCTCGCTCGAACTTGACACGTAACCGCAATGGTTCTTACTTCTTATATAATTCAAACCCACCCAAACTTGCTTTTATTCATTTCAAATCTCTTGCCCCGTAAAACAAGGATCTCGCTTCCTAAGACTCAAAAGCTTAACCACAGCCAGAAACCGACGTTCGACTCGGACTTTGATTTATATGTGCAAACGAAAGGATGGGTCCCTCGATTTTTTCTCAGTGTTCACCTATGTCTGCCTCAGGTCACCAGTGCATCAAGCTCAAGTCTCGATACGGTCGCGAAGAGATGATGCTTTTGCACGGGTTTTTCTTGGCGGATGCTCGCAGCCTGCCCGGAGTTAGAGGCTCGGGTTACAGTAAATTATTAATGCTGTATGACGACTCATATTTATCTTTAGGTATGTTCTCCTCATTCCTTCAGGACTTACTAGCTAGTAGCGGCCATGATGTTAATCATACCAGGATCTCTTTGAAAATATTTCGTTTTTGCGGCCTCAGACGCGTTTGATGCACGTTCGAATCTGTTCTTGTTCAACTTGTCTCAGCTCAACTACCTTGTTGACAATATGGACCCCCTCTTACCCACTCACGAAGCGCCATTTGTCTACCCGATCCTCCTCAGCTCCAAATCGCAACGGTGGTATAAGGGCGGGTTTGCTTCGAGAATAGCAACGAGTGGCTGGCGAGGAAATCAAGTATGCGCGGCTTGGATGAATCAACGAGCATCTGCATTTGCTCAACGTCAATGTCAGTGTATTCTTGCTTCGCGGTTTCCATTCCGATCGCCAGTCATTTCTGTTGTCTTCTACCACAGATCGCTAGCCACAGATCTCCGCCATCGACCTTTCACTCATCTACCCACATAGTATACGGTGCTGGTCATGCTCGACTACAGTAAGATGATTCTGTATCAGGATTCTGAACTATAGCACAGGATACACTCACGAGCATATACCTTCGACTATCGGTTTAGCAAGTTGTACCGATCGCCTGGAATCCTCCATCGTTTTTTCTTTATAGATGCCTTGCGGCTGTACAACGGCGGTTCAAGAATTCACCTTGGAGGCTCAAGTCTTCCGCCTCACCAGAACTTCACTTTCGATGTCCCGTCTACGTGTTGCTTGTTCACTTTGCTTTGGCCGGGGGTACCTGGCTCGTGCATATCGCAAGTAGGACTCCTGACCTCTTGCCAAATTTAGGGTTTCCCGCAACCCTTTCTCGAGGCTTTCAGCACGACCTCAGCATTGCTGGAAGTTCTATGCTTGAAATAGAACTTCCGGTTGATAAAGTATGAATGTAAGATAAAGCCGATTTTTAAGCATTTTTGATCACCCATTATCCCAAGCTCATCCGCTTCCGCCAATAGTCTCTCCAGAAGTAATAAATGGCCCGCCACCATCATATCCTTCTCCTCGCGTCCGACGTGCACGAGGAACGACGCCGTCAGCATTCAGGTCGTGTTGGAGCTAGGCTATTGAGGGTGAGCGACACACCTTGCTGGCAGAAGTTCTGAAACCTGATAATGTATGCAGTGTGTAGGCTGTCATCGCTGTATGCTGTAGTATTGGGGTAGTTCAACACTACCGGACTCGAGTCTTTCCATTAATTTGTATCTTCTCTAAGAATGAAAAACCAATTTTTCTATCAGTCATTTCTTAACAAGAACGAAATGCGAAGTAACGATCGGTTTTGTTCACGTATCTGCAAATGGTACCACAAGGGATTCATTCATCGATCGCTGGAAAAAGGCGTATACCCATTCTGGGAAGCAGATTTGGAATTGGAAGGACATGAAGCGATGAACTGAAACGATACTCGTAATTTTTACTTGTGGACCTATGGCCTTACTTGAGAGCGTTCGAAGATGAACGAATGAAGGCGAACCTACATGAAAAAAAGCGGATAATGAAGGTCCAGTGATGATGGTGGACTCGTTTGGGAAAATCTTCTTCGAAATATCTCGCGCGTATGCCCTCGGATAGTGACTACCACCTTCAAACGCCATTCGCGAAGTCCATAACAGACCATAAAAAATCATTATTAACTAAACACATTAGCAGTAACTATTCGGGCTCTCTTAAAGTCTCATTATTGTCGCCCAAATCCTATTGACCGAAATCAGGATGCATCCTAGACCGTATCCTTGTTCGGGGGTACACTATCTTGCCCTGTAAGACGAAGAGCGGGATGAGATCGGGCTAGTGGGATAGGACGAAGAAACTTACTCCTCGATTCCAAATTTCTCAGAACCAAGCCAGCCTGAGATTGATTCTCTTCGTCCAGCATGCCAAACTGAGGATCAAAACCAAGGCCCAGTGCGATGGACACAGCAAGCAGAGTTGCGCTTATTCCCTAAGGTCATGATATGAGATAAGGGATATGGTTTCGTGCTTCAAGGACGTACCACAATCTGGGTCAAAGCACAGGGAGTTAAGATTTGGAAGGAGCCCGTGCCAAATATTGTAATGATCGAGAAGATCAGAAATACTGAGTTGAGAGCGCCTGATTGCAGACTGACAACAGAGAATGAGATCTCGATTTTCTTTAGCAAAACAGCACGTACAGAGTGCCCGCAAAACGTTGGGAAGCGGTTGTATTGGTCTTGTTGTCAATTGATATTCTGTTCGTCCTGCGGTGTAGCCACCAAACTCTCCCAACTGTAATTTGATAGGTGTAAGTGCTTGTGTAGACAACACATTATTATAAGCTTCGACTCACCCATAAGTCCCGTTAAGACAAGGTTTTCAAGAAGAGTCGCGGCAATGTACACCTGGTCAAAGAATTGTCCTATATCGAGCAAAGCTTCGAAAACTATCCAGGCGACTTTGTACAGCGAAAAAAAGATAATCAATAACGCGAAGTCGAACTTGAGCTTTGATGCTCACTGAAGATTGCTATCAGTCCGAAGAACGGCACAGCGACGACAGATTTTCTCGAGTTCCACAGATGGTAGCAGCGATGGATCTATCAAGATCAAAGTCAGAATGTGCGTACATCATCAACTATACAACGCCGGTAAGTCGTAGGACTGCTTCCGTACGCCTTCCTATGCCCCATGAATGTGTGGGGTACCATCGCCGACGGAGACCGAGTGGGCGTTGAATTCACTCACCAAAATGGCGTCAGAAAACATGCTAATGAATCATATTAGATATGTCAACTGGTCCTGGGGAGGTGGCTGCAACTTACCCGGCGAGAATAAATATGTAGTAAGGACCCGCTTGAATGCTCACCACCTTCTCGTCAGCTTTGAAACCAAAAGCCGTAGGTGAAAGGCCAGTGATAGTGGCTCTGTCGCTGTCGCCCGATCTCCAGGCCAAATCCAAGGCAACAGAAACAGTGGCCGTTATGAAGAAGATCGCAGTCCCAATAACATAGAGTTTCCCAGGCATAAGCTTTGCGCGAAAAATATACAGGCTGGAACTGAACAGAGTGAGAAAGATGCCTGAAATTGTGATGATCGCAGTGAGATGATATGTTACACGACACAGTGAAAATGACCGAACCGTAGAGAAAGAGCTCAATCTAATAAATATAAATTTAGTATTATGCGCTCGAGGTAGAGATGGTGGTGTTCACGTACTGCAATCGGAACCACGAGTGACTCATTCAACGTTCGTTGCAAAAAGGTGTATTCCGATTCTGGGAAGCAAACTTGGGAGGACATGACGCGTGAATGGGGGTCAAACGAAACGAGGAGCGATACCCATGGCCCCACTTTATAGCTTTCGAGAATGGGCAAATGTAGGCGAAGCGGCCTACTACATCAAAAAAGCAATGCGTGAATCACAACAATCGATTGACAATCGACTTTAGGCGAAGCGAATAGCGAAGATCCGGTGGTGATGGCTGGGTCCATTGAAAGGGAGCGGAGTTGAACAAAAGTGCTTGGCTGCTCCTCGCATTTGCAAATGCTTGCTCCCGCCATGTGGCAACGAGTCTCTCGAAGCGGTGCACAAGACTTGCACAAGCTGAGGAATGAACGTGAACACCTATTTGCCCAAGAACGGACATATGAACAGTTTCGTGACCATGCAGAACAGAAACGAAATTCATACGCCCCCGTTGAAAATTTTAATTCCTGATTACTTCAGCCGAATTTTTCCATTCGATGTGTTTTGTCACTTGTGGCACGCCAAAAAAAAAGACACGGTATGTAGGTCATCGCCCAGATCATTATCAATGGCCTTGAGCCCAGCTTGAGCCCTACATGCATACTGAGCATCAATCAGGCTGAAGTTGAATGATTCGATTATCGATATGTATTGAAGCTACTAGTAGTAGTAGTAATATTAGGACTAAATTGTATCGTGACTGAATTTCAAGTATGTACGAGTGTTACTGTACTCACTCGACCATAGAAAAGCGAGGCTTGACTCGGAAAGCTTGAAGCACAAAAAAAAGCACATCATGAAGAGTCTAGTCATTGGCCAACGTGGGGATCAAACCCAAGACCTTCGCGTTAATAACGACTCAGCAATCATCTTCAAAAATCACCCTATATTAGCACGACGCTCTAACCAGCTGAGCTAGTCGGCCACACGAGAGCATTCAACCAGCAATTTTGAGTCTTGTGATAACACTTGTGTCGTCAGTCGCAAAAGCAAATCGTTCATATTGCAGTCGTGAGGCATCCAATAAACATACAGTAAACATATTCGGATTCCTTGCAGGCCCGGAACAGCCTGCGGATAAGGAAGCTGGAAGGAAGCTGGGATAGGGTCAAGGGTTAGTCGCGCGCCATCGACGTGAACATGATGTATCTGACCTGTAAGATATGATGCGAGATGCAGCAGCGTTTCGGCTGACGCGGACAAGGGCGCGTAGCGGTAATTGATGGTACCCTACCCAAACGGCCCATCCCATCGGTTCTAGGCTACTTAGTAGCTGTACCCCCAGGCGAGATAACATTCAACCGCACACCGTGGGGCCATTTCTCTACGGTGAATCGTGATCGCACGGAAATGGCAGTTTGACCCTATAGACATGAACCTGGTATTACGATCCTGTGAAATCCTGTGAAGGGAAGACCTTTTCAGCGCTCTCCGAGTCGTAGGCTTTCTTCTTACTGCAACAATGAGCATGCATCGGTTTTCCCGGGTCGGGTAGTAAGGCGAGATATTAATAACATTTTGTGATCCCCACATAGACATGAACCTGGTATTAAGATCCTGTGAAATCCTGTGACTCAGGGAAGACCTTGTTGTATATTGCCGATGTGGCAACTCCGGAGATTAGGTAGCCGGATCGGTATGTTCATATGTCCGTATCCTTACTCATCGTATTAGCAATATTATACAGTATGTACAGTATATAAGGCTCTCTCCAAAGCCAGTATCTATAGTAGTTATCCAGTTCTCTTCTATCTCTCAAGCCTCACGGCTTATTCAGTTCCCTGCGCCGAGTATTTACAACAGACCTTTTCAGCACCAGCGCTCCGAGTCGTAGGCTTTCTTCTTACCGCGACAATGAAGCTTTCAAGAACTTTGGTGGCTTTGATAGCGTTGTGCGTTCCTGTCTTCGATCATATGAAGGGTAAGCATAGGTAAGCATGTATCGGTTTTCCCGGGTCGGGGTAGTACTCTGGGTAGTACTCTGACCAGGGACCGGGGGCCTTAAGTAAGCTTCCGACTCGAATCATCAAAACTGAGCTAGGGTCTCATTCGCCGATCCTTCATCCCCCAATTCTTTTAGCGTTGAAGCTGGCTTCAACGTCCCAGAACTATTCTCTCATCGGAATTCTTTCTACAAAACACCAATGATACGAATGCCTGTCTTCATTACTACATATTCCTTGGTCTTCATCCTACTTCAACTTGGAGTCAGCGCGCTCCCGCTCAACCAGACACAGTTGCATAAACATACTTTACCTCCTCCCCGGCTGACAGTGGCACCTGGCGCAGCTATCCGGATCGACACTGGAAGGGTTTTACTTGGTTATCGTTCTGTCTCTCCAGTTGCGTGGCATTTACTAGTCTACTAACTCCCCCCACCCTATGCTGACAATGCCTTTGGTGATGGCAGGAAAAAGCAGCAGAGTACAATAATTTCGGAGAGCTTACCTCTATTCCGGCTTCGGGAGCAATGCTGGGAAACGGAGCATACCTATCTCCCCAGTGGGGCATGTATCCGAGTAAGTAGCTGATTTTGCATATATACCTTGATATATACCTTTCTGGAAGTATTAAAAACAACCCTTTTTTTTCGACCAGGTTGGATTGAGGAAGACTACTGGGAGGTAAAATGGTGTCGCTCATTTTACCCCTTCTTTTTTAATGTTGTGTTCAAATGTCTACTTTAGTGCGTTGTAACTGGCAGTGCGCAAGCACTTGAGACGGCGCCAAAGGTAATTGATCTCTCTTGAAGTATGTCAAAGAGTACTGTCAAAACCTAATTCTCAATATAGTTGTTCGTAGTAGTAGCCGATACTGGTGGCACCAATGGGAACCCAAGCGAACTTGCAAGTTATATCCACGAACACAATTATGATCCTGCGCGGACGATTCTTTTCTCCGAGTATCAATATAAGGACGTGAAGAAGAACTACCAGATGCTTATCCCACCTGCGTACCTTGTGCCCTCGCCACGTTTTATTGGGGTACAAGGCGGGTTGAATTCTCTCCAGACGCGAGTTGCATGTGCTCCAAGAGGTCAGTAAAATATTTACTATCCCATGGGCCTTATCATAATAACATCCTGGTATCATGATACTTTTAGGCTGCATGCCATCTGGCCCCTCCGCGGCATGGCACAGTTGGGGAATTAGTCAATGGCCTGGGGATAGTGTTCATGTTCGTGCTGAAGAAACGCAGAAGCAGCAGCCTGAGTGTAGCGCAGCACTTCCTGCATCGGTGTCCCATGAGACTCCTTCGAGCAAGAAGGAGATAGGAAAGAGGTGATCAGGAAGGCAGTGTGTTGTGGTCATGTAAAAGCATCGAGTATGTAAGGTAAAAGGAAAAATACACGGTGGGTGATCGCAATACACTTGTGCGTTCCAGTTACTAGCACTAGCACTGCATGCAAATTCCTGTAAGTTTTGCTGATTAAAACATCGGGAAGGTCTGAGCAAGGATCTGAGATCCAAAAAACAATTCTAAGAGATCAATGTATGGCCAACGTGGGGATCGAACCCAAGACCTTCGCGTCAATACTGAGGCCCAGTGAAAAACGCCTCGGGTCAGATATGCTGAAATATAATGAGGTCTGAGTGAGGTAAGCAAAATAGGTATCAGTCATATCTCGTCTGATATGGCTATATGCATACATCTGTTCTGCTCTGGTCAGAGTGTGCAACATCTACTTTCAATACATTCTCTGCTCAAATGAGCAACAAGCATGGCAACAAGATTAATTGGTCCAAATGGTGTGACTTTGTGAGATATAAAGTGGCTCGATGTTTTGTCAGGTCAACTCTGCTTCTTCTTTCCCGCCATGTTTTCCTTTATACTTTTTCTGCTAAGTCCCTATTTTTCTGGAATATTTGCTGTACGTGCATACATGTGCTCTTCAGATTGAAGACAGACGTACAATTAGTAACAAATGTGGGTGAGCGTGGGCTGAGTTTGACGAATATGGGCGAGCATGAGTTCGGCTTCAAGGAGGTATGGACATCGATCAACTGTTTTTGTTTTTCTTTAAATGACATTTTTTTCCATGACCTCTAGACTGTACTATTTTGGCAAGCCCGCTACGTTTGGTGCATCGCGTAAGTTATTTTCTTAACAGGACTGGTCATCTCAACTGAAAAATGTCACAAAGATTACATTTTGGATGGAACGTACTACAGCGCCATGCGTGTCCTATCTAGCTTTATTCCCTTATTCCACAGCCATCTTTTCAATTAGTTGCTGGCCTTTTAAATGACCCTTCTCATACATATACTCTACCTTTATTAGACTCGCTAGCCACTACGTAGATTACATATCTCAAAAATATAATTACTCCAAAATTTGAACCAATTTAGTGCAGTGAGAAACTGGATACTGGCCCACCTATTGCATCTGGTCAATGGCAGACAATAGTAACCAATATCACAAGAATAATGTATTGTATTTACAGACGGGGCACGATGGAAGCCGATGTGAGCAGAAAAAATATCTGAAACCGCTCATATTTCGGACCTAATCTGTCGTGGTAGTTCATTGACATCTCTTGACACATTCCACGATCTTACTCGATTTCACTATATCAGGCCCGACGCGATTTTCCCTGGGACTGAGGGACAGACAATATTAGCACGACGCTCTAACCAACTGAGCTAGTCAGCCATGCGTAGAATTAGCATGAACTAGAACGTAGCGGGAATTTTAAGTCTTTATATGATAACACTGTGTTGTCGAACTACTGTTAAGAGATGCGATGATTGGAAAGGAGATCCGAGGGCTTCAGAGATTGATATGCAATACGTACCAACAGTTTGTTCATCTAGACAGTCGCGAAAGTACATCGTTCATATCACAAGTCATAATCACAAGTCATAACCCAAGATAATCCTACATAATCCTACACACTTTGATAACTTCGATACCCAGATAGCCGTACATGCACTTCAATCCTTTACAAGTCAAGAGTGGATAAGGAAATTGAGAGACCCTCAGGGGTCCTTGTGTGCCATTGACGGGACGGCGGACGCGTAATGTACGATGCGAGATCGGTGAGCAAGCAAGTGAGCAAGATATGATAACATTAGCGACGTCTGCAATTTGACCCACCCGGAAGCGGCCATTAAGTAATATTGACGCGTGACGGGTTGATGGATAGACCGGTAATACATGCTTTTGGTCCCAGCGATATCGATACAGGCGAGAGGGCATTTGGGCGTACGTCATGGGATGTTTCTCTGCCTTGGCGGCAGAGAGGTGGACGTGGTGTTTTCGAACACCAGACGGTCCTACCTCGGCGACCTGGATGGAAGCGCGGAAGATGATAGTGGCGAATGCACAACGTGTACATGATGGGTACAGTATCAATGAGATCAGTGCCTGATGCATTGATGATTCAAGTTTAGTGGCTAGCCAGGCAGATGCAAAGATACACGTACCGCACGTAACGAAATCTATTCTGCCAAACTCTTCGATAGCTCTTTAGACAACCTCTTTTGACGTGCTTGGTTCTTCAGATCCTTCAGATGTACACACGCACATCCCAGTCGCTTCCGTTCAATCGCAGTCTGAGTCAACTGGTCAAGTCTACAAACGCTGTATTAGCTGAAGGAAAATTTCCAATTCCTTCCGAGCTTTGAGCGCGAATCTTCGTCGGCACAATAGCATATCTAATAGTAAGATGTAAGCTAAGGAGTATTCATAAACAAAAGGCCAAGACACGCGCCAATGCTCCACATTCCTTGACAATTCCTAAGCCTCCTCCGCCCGGGTGCAGAAACCCTTGAAGATTTCTGTTGAGTTGGGAGTTGATACAGCAAGGCGCTATAGCGAGAGTCAACGTCAGATAAGCCATTGTCCAAGTCACAAAAAATCGAAGAGAGAGTGTAACGATTCAACGTCAACGAACAGGTCGGGCGCCTATTCTAAATCGGCTTACATACTTGCCCCGTTTAGGTAAACGCCACACAACCTTCTCTGCCATGTCGAAGAGCTGAGCGCTGTCTCCGATCCCACTAGAGAGAGAAACACGCAGGCCTCAGGATTCTACTCACCTGCAGAAAATTCTCTCCGTTTTAGACCGTGGAGCGGAAACTTGGAGCTTCTTGAACGAGTGGACGATGCATATGCTAGTCAAGGTAGCTGGAGAGAAACAATAGTACGTCTCTCATCAACATCTTGGGCCGCCTGGACTCATCCTGGTAGCTAGTAGTAGGCTACCTTTCAAGTTTCACTCATCCAAGCCGCTGCGACTTTAACTCTATGCAATAAAGAAATGTGAATCTTGGAATAGCTGACTCGGATGTCGCCACCAAAACAAAGGAAGGTCGCTTGAGCGGGGCGGTGTGCGCGGTAGGTAAACACAACATCGACACATGATTCAAACTCCAGTATCATTATGGCTTCAAGGAAACCAAATCTTGTCCAATCAAATTGAGGCCCAAATCAAATATCTCATTTAAATGTAAAATTGCCGTTTGGATCGTGGTGATTCCCAATGGTTCTTTCTATCCAGTGTCAAGCTCTGCTGTCGGATATGTGGGTTTAGAAACAAAAATAGTAGATTTGCTGATGAGCTGCCAGTTTTAATAAATTACAGGAATAACATTGTTTTGTTTATAAACAAAACAATGTTATTCCTGTTGTCCTCTAGAGCAACTAGAGAGACAGTCAGATGAGGTACTACATCTACCTACATCTTATATACTGTTATGCATATGTACACAGGGTAATAGTAGTAAGTAAACACTTGGGGCAGTAATGAGCGTGTACACTATGTAACAATGAGTAACTTGTACTTGAGGTAATACTTGGGGTAAGTACCTATAATAAGGACTGTACATGAGATAACTACAAGGTTGATCAATCAAATCATGATATCTATAATAACTTATAGGGCCTGTTCGGCTGCCAGGGTTTTTCATATAGCGCTCAATTGTGTTTATTTTCAAAAACATACATCGTGTGAGAATTGAACGTTCAGTATATTTCGATCCTATCAAGGTACACGGCGGGCGAGAACAGGGTCGAGCATATCCGCCAGGCTCCACTCAACACCATGCGCCCTCCGCCCACCCCTGGTTCCATCACCGCCCTTGAATACAGGAATTTTTCAAGTCAGAAACCAACAGAACCATTGTCTATTAGCTTGCACTAGCACTTCATACAGGTAATTGGAGATACTTTGGGAGATAAATTGCATCAAAAGACACATTGTCGCTGTTGGAGACAACGGGCCAGATGTTAGGGAAGTGTGCAGCGCTGTGCAGCGAGAGAGCCAAAAAATATATATATAACGACAGTCAACCGAACAGGCACAAAAAGGGGTACAACTACTTTTATCAAAATTGATACTATAAAAGTAGTTGTACCGCTTTTTTAAGTAACATATGCAAGGAACCGTGCCTGTTTGGTTGACTGTCGTTATATTTAAAAACCCTAGCAGCCGAACAGGCCCTAAGGACTGTGAGATAACTATGAGCGTGATCAATCAAATCATGATATTTACTGATATCTAACAAGATCAAGGTTGGATCATGGGGAAAAAATGATATTAAAATCTGGGGAAACCGCTCAATTTCTCTGTGTCATCCCCTCCTACTCTATCTCCATCCCATACCAGATCCTTCATGACTCCAGGAGAACAGACAGAAATTGAAAATGCTGCATCTTTAATTATCGAAAGCTGCTTTTCATTAATAGTCAGTTGTGCTCTATATGGTGAATCATATTCAAGTTTCGAACTGGCGATTCAATACACTAACATGTCACCCAGGAGTATATTGTTTGGCTTTTTTCATAAGCCTTGGTGTTTATCTGTGAGTTGTGTCCCTGAGAGACTTCAATGACCCTAATTCAAATTGAATTTGATAGTAAAGGAAGACCTGGTCCAATGAAGAAGGCAATGCTTTGCTTGGTCCTGTCCACATTTGCGATGGTTACACCATATTATGTGGTATATCAGGGATCGCCACTTATTATCATAAAGCATGAGCTTATGGTGTCTCTTCCGGGTGGTATCAAGGCACAAATAACTGCAGCAAACTCACAGCTGCTTCTTAAAGTCTTTTCTGACATAATAGACTGTTTGTGCAATTCCATAGTAAGCTTACAGTCAGCTTTATGTTGAGCCACTGATGGAGAGCAGCCTCGGATAAGGTTTTACTCGTTGATGCGGTTATTGTTTGGAGAGCTTGGGCGATGTTCATGGATAGTAAAACTGTGAAATTACTTTTGGTTTTCTTGGTGGTTGTGGATATAGGTGAGATTATTAAAACTTTGCAGTGGAATGGGTTTACCCAAGATATCAGGTGTTACTATCGCTGATTGCGTTGCTGATACTAAGAATGTCATGTTCTGGACTGTGTCACTTGACTGGGCTCAGATTATAGTTTCATTGTCGGTGAATTTGGCAGCAACATGTTTGATTGCCATTCGTGCATGGCAAGTGGAGTTCTGATCTGACATCAATTTGACTCTCATCATGATGCTTATGTGAATGAAGGATGCACCGCAGAGAGTCTACAAGGCCTTTCCACATGAGGACAAGAAAAACTCAAGTGGAAGAAGTTCTTATACTTCTTGTGGAGTCTGGGGCAATATACGCACTGATACAGGTACACAGCTTGCAGAATATGTTGTTTCTGCTGATTGGCAGTGTTTTGTGTTTTGCAGATAGCATCTCTCACCACACGTGCATTGGATGTGGGTGCATCAGTAACATCTCCTACACCCCTTGCGGCAGTCAGAAGCATTATAGATCAAATGTATCTATATTCTGCTGTAAGTACTTATTCAAGTCGTGAAACACCAATACTGAGCTGATGTTTTTCCTTGATGATTCTCAGTGTCTAAACCCTGTTGCAATTTGTGTCTTGGTGCAGACACGAAGTACATACTATGAGCACAGTTCTTACCTGGATGAAAGTCACACACTGGCGCTGGTACTCAGTCAAGAGAATCAGCATGTCTTCACATCGGAAGGTGATTCTGCTGATGATTACTGAGTAGTTAGGCTACAAAGATATGACTTGCAGCAAGTACTGTATTATGTATACTATGATGTTTTTTACATTATATTTATGACTGTGTTGGTCCATTTTTTGATGCTATTTTGTGTGGTTTGTATGTAGGGTGTAAATGTGTAGCTTTGGTGTCACGGTGCTAGTGATGTACCGGCCCGGCTTTAACCTGTGAGCCCCGGCTTTGGCCCATAGGCCCTTGGCTTTGGCCTGGAGAAATCAAGGCCGGGCCCTACTGAGTTGAGAGTCTTCTGTTGTTAATGCAACAATCAGTCTATTCTACGAACTACTAAAGAATGGTAAGAGACTGCATTCATAGTCATTACTCTCTATATTAACTGGGGTCAGGAAAATTTGAGGATGAGATCTTGGCTGCTCTTCCTCAGTTGCAACATGTTATAAAGTCTTGTTCAGACAAAAGTGTCTGTGAAGCAACACTCAAGCTATTATTGCATCTGTCACAGAATGGTAAGAGACTGCAGTCATGGTGATTTCTATTAATTGTTGTTCAGGAAAATTTGAGGATGAGATCTCGCCTGTTCTTCCTCAGTTGCAAAGTCTTCTGAAACACCGTTGGTTTTCTGATAGTGTTATGTGTTGAAGGAGGTCATTGGCTCCAAGGTGTGCCCCCCGCCATTTGCATCTGAGGTAGTATATGGTGTTGTGGATTGAGAGATCTGGGCACACTTGTACACTCGGTTGTTAGACCTTTTGTACAATTGTCAATTTATCAGTGGGTATCCCCCTGGCCCCATGGCCCGTACAGTATTGATACTACCTACAATACCTTCAACTAGAATATTGCAGTACAGACTTAAATCTACAACATATGGAACATGTTTTGATCCTACTGAGGTTTATCCCCCAGCCGGGGCTCCTTATTTTTCCTTTCCTATTTTATTTATCCATTCCTCTTTCATTAAGGTAAGAATTACTTTGAACAGAAAGGAAGTAGGACTCCAGGAATGAGTAAATACTATTGATAATGATCTTCAATCTGCTCGGTATTATTGTAGGTCGAGTATAAAGGAGTATTAACTCATTAATTTGAATGAGTGTTTTGTCAATGAAATTGGCCCCCACCCTATAGTGGCAACGCCTTTGGTGACAACAGGAACAAGCAGCAGAGTACAACTATTCCGGCTTCAGGAGATCATTTGTGTACTACTTCTAATCTATTTAGGTACACCTCATGAACACTTCCTCTTTCTCCCATTTCATGTGGCAACAAGTCTCTCCACGTGGTGCGCCAGGAGGAACGAACAGGGACGGATGGACAGCCCGAGGTTTGCATACAGAAACTATGCAGGTAAGTGGTTTCGGTGGACCAGAAGGATATTCATACTGAGATTTAGCATCCTTGATTGACTTTGCTCGAATCTCAGGTGCATATGCCTATACAACCCATCGAAAAGTGTCGAGTATCTAAGGCAAAAGAAAAAAAACACACGCTGGGTCATTTGTGCTGTTTTGGCTTTCAAACAAAACAAGTAAAAGTTATACCTAGTCTCATGCATCAGTGACCTTGAATCATTCAATACATTCGCGTGGTCAAGCTACTAGCAATAAAAAAGCATGAATAAGCTTGACTAAATTTACATTATACTGACTCGACCTGTCGAAAACATCGAGGAAGGTCTGAGATGAAAAAAGCGCCATGGGGATAGGCATATGGCCAACGTGGGGATCGAACCCAAGACCTTCGCGTAATCAGATTGAAATTGAAGTGATCTATATTAGCACGACGCTCTAACCAGCTGAGCTAGTCGGCCATGGATGAATAGAGGACTAGTATCAATTTTGAGTCTTTAGATAACACTGTGTCGTCAAACTACTGCTCAGAGTGTTTGAGGATGCGACGATGGTGAAGGAGATCCGAGCGCTTAGATTGATATGTACGTACCAATAGTTTGTTCACTCGTTACTTCTCTAGACAGTCGCGACGGTCACGAAAGTGCATCGTTCATACCACAAGTCATAACCCAGATACTTAACCGTACATTCACTTCGATACTTTGCGAGTCCAGAGCGGATAAGGAGGTTGGGACACCCTCAAGGGTCCTTGCGCGACATCGACGGGACGCGTAACGTACGACGCGAGATTGGTGAGCAAAATACGGTAGCGTTAGCGACCTCTGAGAGTTGACCAGCACGTCCGAGGGGGAAGCAGCCATTGATATTAACGGATAGGCTGGTACACAAAGAGTTCAACTTTTGGTCCCAGCGATACATTGGGCGTACACTGTGAGGCGCTTCCTCTACGGCGAGCACAGCGGAAATTCAAATGGGATCTATTCCTGCCTTGGCTGCGGAGATGTGGACGTGGTATTGAATGTTGGGAGAAGGTAGGCTTTCTGAACACCAACCGTCCTGCCTCGGCGATGTCGATGAAGCTTGAGCTTGAAGCGCTGAAGCGCTGAAGAGTGGCGTTGACGTGAATACAGAACGTAGTAGACGATTGTACAGTATCGATCCTATGAGAGTCATCGTTTTCTGATAGGCCAGAGATCTTTGGCCAAAGAGTTTCCTCAGCACCTTGGATTCGAATTTAGTGGCTAGCCAGGCAGATGCTAAGATACACGTACCGCAGATAACAAGATCTATCTATTCTGCTAAGCTTGTCGATAGTTCTCTAGACCTCTTTCGACGTGCTTGGTTCGTCAGATGTACACGGGCACCTCACAGTCGCTCCCATTCAATCGCAGTCTGAGCCAACCGGTCCAGTCTACAAACGCCGCATTAGCTGAAGAAAAACTTCCCAGCTTTGAAAGTAAATCTTCATCCCCACAATAGCATATCTAATCATAAAATGTAAGCTAAAGTAGTATTCATAAACAAAAGGCCAAGATACGCACACTTATTCCTCGACAACTCCTAAGCCTCCTCCGCCCGGGTGCAGAAACCTTGAAGATATTGCCTTCGGTTGAGTTGGGAGTTGATGTATTGAGAGTCGACGTCAATAATCCATTCTCCAAGTCACGAAAAGTCGAAGAGAGTGTAACGATTCAACGAACAATTGCGAGCGCCAAGGTCGGGCGCCTATTCTAAGTTGATACTTTCCGCCACAGCCTTCTCTGCCGTGTCGAAGAGCTGAGGGCTGTCTCCGGTCCCAGTAAAGAGAGAAACGCGCAAGGTTCCACTCACCTGCAGAAAAATTTCTTCGTTTTAGACCGTAGAGCAGAGACTTGGAGCTTCTTGAACGAGTGGACGAGCTACAGAGAATAGTGCGTCTCTCATCTTCCAGACTCCAACAGGCAGTCTGTATTCCTACTCATCGTGGTAGTAGTATGGTGCCTTTTAAATTCCGCTCATCCAAGTTGCTGCGACTGTAACTCTATGCGATACAAAAATCTATCAGTGGGCACAATGGTTTGGTACGGCTCGGATACGAGCCCTGGTAGCTTTGAACTGCCCTTGGCTCTCCTTGACTCTGGACCACGGACAATAGAGTTTATAGCATGGCAAGGGCTCCTCTAGTTTTCTCATCGTTACCACCAGAATCTACTACTTACCTGGAACGTTCAAGTCGGCAGCTACGCATTTCCTATTTCCAAAGAAGTGATGTTAATCGCTTGCGTTTGCGTCAAATTTGCTGCCTTCTTCCTCCTTCTTCTCGCTTCTTCTCGCATGGCGATGAAGCCAAAAGAGCCCCGAAACCCTCACTGGCACACGTTTTTCTAATGGATTTTACGACTCCACAGGCATCGAATAACTCGGCCAGGCTACCGGTTCGGTTAAAAATCTGGGGTGTGCGAGTGAAGACCATGAGTGTTAATAAATATCTCCTTCCTTTCTTCCCATACTCTGATATATCATGCAAGACAGAATGCAGAATGTAGGTACTAAGCTCGAGGCTGCTCGAGGCAGCCGTTTCAGGCAAGTCCTTTCCCTGACTCAGATATAAGGCTGTTCAGTCCTATTCCAGCCTATCCCCGGTAAAAATTGCGATACTGCTTGTAGTGATCAGTCAAATAACCGGATGGCCCGGACCTTCATGCCACAGGCTCTCACTGGGTACGATTACTTTTTGTAGCGCCCTTGCTTGCTCCTCCTTACTCTAAGTAATACTTAGGCCGTTCGAATTCAACGCGAGAAAATGAATAAAATGCTAGTGCATACGACCTCAGCTGAGGCTCCATACTATTACCAGTCTGTTTAGACCGCTGGAAGGTCTAATTCCCTTGCCAATCCCTTGCTTCTGATGCAGGTTACCGACCGACGAGGGTAAATCACCACAGAAGAAAAAGGATTCGGAAAATCAAAGAGTCAGATTCCGAAACGTAGGTGTTGATACTAGGTATCGATCTTAGCAGTCAGTAAAACGTGGAACGTGGGCAGCTTCCAGTGCCGGAAAGCGGCTTGTACTCCACCCACGTTTTGCAGATCTTCGTAGACGAAGCCGAATTCGATCTCAAGCGCAAACGTGTACACTTGTACTTTAGGCACCGTCGTCGGCTCGTCGCGATTTTTGCTGTGATTACAATTGAACAGCGCTTTTTCAACTCGACATTTGCAACTTGCAACTTCATTCCCAAAACAGGTAAGCCGCAGGCTCAACATCACAAAATGCGTAGGTATAAAGAGACAACGAGTTTTTTCAACTCGCCTGATCCACGTCCGCGGTTCAATCGAGCCTTTCATCACCCAGCTTTTTTTTATCACATCTTCAGTATTGGAGCTGGCTTCAACATCCCAAACCATTCTCCCCGGAAACTCGACAAAACATCGATGAGAAGGATATCTGTTTTTTTACGTCCCCATGTCCTTATTACTACCTATACCTTCGTCCTCATTCTACTTCAACTTCGAGTCAACGCGCTCCCCTCAACCACACAGAGTCCTACGAACTTCGTACTTTCCCTCATCCCCCGGAACCAGTCGATTTCGCGCCTCTTGACCCCAAGAGAGTTTTACTTGGTTTTCTTCATGTCCCTCCGGTGGGTGATAGTGTTTCCCATGAGTCTATGTCGGCAGCGTTCTCATATCCTTGGTGATGCCAGAAAATCGCAGCTGAGTACAATCGCCTCAACAGACTTACCTCTATTCCGGCTTCGGGGGTACAGCTGGGAGAAGCCAATGGAGCATACCTAGGAGAAGGAGCATATCTTTCCCCTCAGTTGAACAATTTTCCGGGTACGTAGCTGATTCACATGTACTAAGTCAAAGTGTTAAAAACAAGCCTTTTTCTGGCAGGTTACATCCCGCACGACTACTGGGAGGTAGGTTTCGGTCACGTATCCTTCTAGTAGCTTTGAATCAGAGCTGGCTCGATTTCCAGTGTGCCGTGTTGGCTAATAAGAAAGCCCTCAAAAAGGCACCAAAGGTATTAATGACAACTACGCCAGAGAGTACTATCGGATCCTGATTCTCAATATAGCTATTTGTAGCCGATACTGGTGCCACCAACAGGAACCCCTCCCAACTTGCATATTATATCAAGAATCATGGTTATGGTGACATTAGCGGCCAGACGATTCTTTTCTCAGAGCATCACTATTACCAGCGGAAGAACAATTACCAGATGCTCATCCCACCTGCCTACCTTAAGCCCTCGCCAGGCTTTCCTGGTGTACAAGGGGGGTCGAATTCTCTCAAGATACGAGTCGAGTGTGTTGAAAAGGGTCAGTGAAACTATTTACTCTGGGCTACTACGCAAGGACCTTAATCAATTTGTACTTTTTAACTCAGGCTCGATACAGTCTCCCCCCTGCGCAGAATGGGACACTTGGGGGATTGATTATTGGCCTCGGGCTGTTCATGTTTGTCCCCAAGAAACAAAGAGGCCTTCGACCAAGGAGACGGAGGTAGCTGCGCCTCCATCGCACGTATCGGTGGAACACGGGACCCCTTCGACTAAGAAAAGGAAGGCGAAAGGAACTACGCCTGGAGCACCTCCCCTTTCGATGGCACACGGGAGTCCTTCGACCAAGGAGACGAAAAGGACTGCGCCTGCAGCACCTCCTGTATTATCGCCTCCTGTACCGGTGGAACACATGACTCCTTCGAAGAAAGGAACTGCGCGTTCAGAGACCACTAAATCGGCATGCTCTGTGCGTCCTAAATGGGTTAACAAACTAATACAAATTTTTTGCCTTACATCTCAGACATGATATTTTTGGGGCTGGCTGTGGGGTTGGCTGCACCGTGTATCATAATAGCAGTGGGGCTACTCGGACTACTTAGATGAGCATAGATTAGAATATACGGAACATGAACAATTATGTACACAGTAATACTAGACTACAAAAGACTGCGTGCCAGAAACGACTACCAGCCCACCCACGTTTAGCTGATAAGTCGGGTCAGCTGCCACACCAGTTGCATTCTGCCGACTTCAGTGTGGAGACATAGATGATAGTATCTCACCGCAGTTACCTCATGGATTACTTCGTGTATAATGAATCAGTTAACTACGCTACGTGTAGGAGACTATCTGCTTCCTTACTGTGCCAGAGATTTTGAGAGAACGGTGAGCACTCCAAACGGTGCTCTTGCGGTGCTCAGGTGGTGCATTTCTCGTTAGTCAATCATAGATTAATGTCCCATGTTCATGTCGGTCCGCTTATCGAGTGTCCGATGACTATCAAGTGTCAAGCGTCCGGCGCCGGTAAGTACCTGAATGTACTGCGATAACTTTGTACAACTTTGCTGCTGATAAGGTTCCCACTAGTTCCCACCAGTTTTGGTGTCAAAAGGTCAATTGTCTTTGTTGTACTTTAAATTTAGACCTTGGCAGCTGGACCCACAGAAGAACACGAGTGAGTGGCAACGA